AATTTTCAATTTTTATTCTTTCCCTTTAGCTCTTATTTAGTCCTCACACTTAGCTATAACTTGGGGACTGTAGCAGTAGGGTTCCAAGTTTCTTTAGTAGCCCTATCTTAAGCAGGAGGGAAAAAACTACTACATCACATAGTATTGGTCCTCCCCATAGCATTCACAAAGAAGCAGGTATAAAGGTGGAATGCAATACAACCTTCTTCAACACTGATGTTATAAATCAAACTCTATTCTTCCTCTTGCAAACTATTAGGACTTCTCTATCTTCACAACCCTGCTGAATATTGAGAAGTGTCAATCATAATTCCACTATTTTATCCCACATCCACATGTTTTTTTCTCTCTTCCAGCCAGTATATATCTTCATAATAGGTACTGAATCCTTTATAACTTTTTAAAATTTAAATCTCCAAAGCAAAATATAGTGCCTGGAAAAAGAAGTGTTGAGCAGTACCCTCTTTTTAACTAACAATGAAAAGAATAACTTGGTCACTAATTTCTGAAATTTCAAATACACGCAAAAAAAAAAAAAAAAACTTACCTACTTTATTGTATTTTCAAAGCCACATCAATTTGTTTCTATAGCCCACTCCTTCTAGGTTGATTCCAAAGATTTTAGTTTATGTGATAGAAAAAATAAATATCCATGCAAAATGGTTTACATACTTGATCATTTCCAATGTGTACACTTAAAAAAAATCCCTTCCCCAATTTGTCTGAAAGTATGCTTCTTTCTACTGATGCACTTTCTTAGACATCTTTGATTCCCCAATGATTTCTATAGTTAGATATATAACATGCACTTAAATATTTGTTGAATGAATGAGTTATTTTTAAACCACCATGTTTGTTAGCATGTTACAATTAATGAAAAAAAGTTCCAATGCAAAACATTTTAATAGGTTGTCAAATATACAGGTATTAGCATTATGTAAATATCACTTATAAAAATTGGTATATCACATTAGATGATTCTATAAAATAAAAACACAAATCACACATTGACAATAACCCCTGCAGTCCAAGCATATCCCCACAATAGCACAAATTACAAACACATTTTTAAAAAAAAACCCTAAAGACATTTATACATTTAAACCAAGGTAACTGTGACTAAATACATTCATTCATCAAGTACAATAAGTTTAGCATTGCTGCTTATAGTCACTAATAACACAATTTTAGGTGCAATTTCACATGCTTTCATAAATCTTCCAGTACAGTTCCCATAAAGTGTCTTTGTGCACACCATTTTCATTTATATGCAGGTACATCATACTTAAAACGATTTCACTTCACAAACTGTTAATATATATCTTAAGTGGACAGCAGGTAAAAAATTTAAACCTCAATGATGACAAAATTTAAAATTAAAGTCTTGAAAGCCTATAGTGATTTGTTTACTTGCATAAATACTATTTTCATTTAGTACAGGCTATTAAGTAATGAGAATTTAAATATTAATTTAAAAAAAAGATAGAGGCTCCAAACCTTCCTAAGAAATTAATGCATTTTCAAATAATAATATAAGCAGTCTGTAAATCAAAAGTAATTTCATATTTATTGCCAAATTTAAAATACCAGTGATGTGAAGAGAAGATTCAGGCCCAACTAAATCATAAAATACAATAAAGAAGATGCAGCTCATTTGCTTGGGAATATATAATGGAATGTTTTTCACAGTAATGTTATGTTAAACGCTACTTTAAATGGACAGTCTAAATAAATGTACCTTTGCCAGCAAGGGAAGTGAAAAATTAAGGCTTTCTTATGCCATCTGTAACTACTAACCAAACTTAAGTTAAACAGAGGTTACAATACTGCAAAATATTACTTCTAACTTCTTTAATATTGTTAGTTGCTTCATTTCAACCCCATACTTATTATCTTATTTAGGTGCATTTTCTATATCTGTAATTTAATTAAGTCCCCAATCCCAGCCCATCTAAACAGAACACTGAAAATGGTTAGGACCTTATCTATTGGGTTCACAGTTGTAATACTGGGGGCTAAAAATGCTTAACACATGGCATAAATCCAAGAACTACTTTTGAATAACCTAAGAAGCCTGGCCTCCAAAGGCAACCCTACTTGTTTTTCCAAAGCATTAACAGATAATTGTTACCTCTTTAGATAACCTGATTGACACTTATTAAAAAGGAATAGATGTTTCCTAGGCTATGAAAACATCAAAAACATAGAATAGAAAGGATAACTGAGGGTACAAGCATATCAAATCAAGACTAAAGGCACTGGAGAAAGAAGGTAAGCATTGTAAACAATTTTTAAAGCAAGTCAAGTTTTAAAGCATAAAATGCCAAACTACTAAGAGAAAATGTACTAAAATGATGACAATGCTTTACCATAGTGGACACAATTCCCGTAATTTAACAAACAGAATTGTTTCATTGTTCTATTGTTTTCTTTCATCCTACATCTTCTATAATATTCCAAACCCTAGAAACAAATGTATTTCCAGTTGCGTGAAACAAAAAATTGCAACTGAAATATCTATGGAAATTCCTTTTTCTTAAATGATGCTATAAATTTGATACATAGACTTGGTAGACATAGAGCATCATTTTGGAAATCATAAAATACTAAATTATTCTTAATGGAAATACAGACAAAGGTTCTTATTTAGTTGTACACAGTTTAGAGCCCCATAAGAGCAAACTGTAGTGTAAAGAGGAAAAGTAAGTACAATCTTTCCAGACACACACAAAGAATAATGAATACTGAGTTGAAATATCACAAGCTCCACATTAGAGCCATTTAATATACATATTTTCATAATTGTTTCTTGAAAAACTATTTAGATAAAATATTTAGCATTTATCATTGATTTTAATTTACTTGAATCTATGCAATGTCCATCCATATTAAAATATCAATTAATGTAAATACTTTATTATAAAACTATTATACAATTTAAATTTTTATTAGAGAAAGGTATTATTCACATCCACAATTTCTTAAAGTCCTTTCTAAATGAGTGTATTCCATAAGAAATACACTGAAATCATTACTTATGTTTCATAGGGGAAAAAAAACTATAAGAATCCTACTAACCCAAACTATAACGGTATTATACTTATTTCTTAAACGTTTACACGTTCAAATACGCTTGGTGAATAGTGATCATTCATCCCCACAGTGGTAAATTTCAGCATAATATTAAGTGACTGAGATAGACTAAAATAGTCACACGTAGGCTGGATAAACAGATACTTATTCTCTTACACCTAAGCTTACTTATAAAGCAACATAAAATGAGCACTGGATAACAATGATAACAAATGTAAACCAACAGAATTAAATGTTAATCCTTTCCCTGAAAAACAACAGATAAAAGGACTTCTTGCTTTATTAAAAACAAAACATGATCTATGTATCAAAAAGGTAAGACACTGATTTTACAAAATTATATTTCCAAATACAGATTAAAAAATCTTGAACAGTTAATTCAGATTTTATTGAGCTAAAATGTGCAAAAAACTCTGACAATACTTAAGTTTAATAAATTCATTGTACATAAGCTGATATCATCCCATACAAAAAAAGCCTCAGTATCTTGTTAAGATTCAAAATAGTGTTTAATTATCTGAGCTTAAGATTTATTGGACCACTATCCAAATAACAACGAAAGTCCATACTGTAAGAGAAAAAAGTAAAACTAAAAATTTTCTGATTATTAATTATGACTTGAAATTCATTCCCATTAAAACATAAAACTATAGCCAATATCCAATTGAAAAGTAAAGAAAAATTAGAAGTCCTTATGGAAAATACACCAATTCTAAATAAAAAATTAAAATCAAATTTTGCTATTACGAAATGCATATTATCTTTTAAGTATTCAGGTTTAGTAGATTTACTAAGCATAGAGTTCATTGAGCATTTATTTGGTACTTCTGTTTGGACTCAGGTATTTGCAAAGTACCCCCAGAGAGGGTTGGGAAAGTAAGATAAACATAAAATTGTGATAACTTTTCTCCACACCACAACAAAGGTGCTTGGATTTAAAAATTCAATTTGTATCTCTAGAAGAACAAGAGGAGAAACAATTTACAACTCCAAAATATTTTGCAGAAATATGGCAAAACTGCTAACTACTTAGAAATGTTATTAGTGAATCGAAGTGCAAGTAATGACAACATTAACATCAAATGTATTTGAAGACTCAAAGTTTTAAATATTTTTCAATGACAAATAATTAGTTGTTTTTTTTAAGGTGGTGGGTATGAAATACAAATCTAATTTTTCCAAGAATTGTAGCACTGCCCCTGCCCCCATGAAATTAAATTATAATTTCACTGTTGAACATGATATATAACTGTTTTGAATAAGAGTGAAATAGAAGCCTGAATTTAGATATGCACCAAGCCCTATATGACAGACTAATTTACATATAGTATTTTTGATAACAACCTAATTAGATATTGTTTTTCATGGCTTACTATAATTCTGAGAAACTACTGTTAACAACATACATTTATACTACCACTTAACTAAATGGGGACATATAAATACATAAATTTTTAAAGAAAAAATTCAAGTTTGAGAAATAAAACTTTAATTATTTACTTTTTTGAAGCTGCATTTATATAAAAAGGTATATGCTTTATGATACTTTTCACAATGTAATAAATTTATATTCCAATTTTCTCATAAATGAAAGATAAAAATATTTTGTTGGCTGGGCACAGTGGCTCACACCTGTAATCCCTGTACTTTGGGAGGCCAAGGCGGGTGGATCACAAGGTTAGGAGATCAAGACCAGCCTGGCCAATATGGTGAAACCTTGTCTCTACTAAAAATACCAGAACATTAGCTGGGCATGGTGGCAGGCACCTATAATCCCAGCTACTCAAGAGGCTGAGGCGGAGAACTGCTTGAACCCAGGAGGCAGAGGTTGCAGTGAGCCGAGATCATGCCACTGCACTCCAGCCTGGGTGACAAAGCTAGACTTCATCTCAAAAAAAAAAAAAAAATTTTTTTTTTGTTCCTTGAAAATAACATCTCTCTTCTTCTAACCCCAGTAAGAACAATTAATGTGTCCTTAATTTCAAGATTTTTGTTGTTGTCATCCACATCGTCTTTTTCATGAAGTATAATATTTGGAGAGAGAGAGAGAGATGTAAAAAATCAAAGAGAAAACCTGCTTTTGGAATGCAACAATTCTAAATCATTTCACCAAGAAGCACCTTTTGATACGCTGGCCTGAACTTTTAATATAAAACCTAAACAGTACTTATTTCTGAGTAGAATTTTCTCCAGTTTTAGTAACTTCATACATAGCAATACTAAGGACATCAACCTGTGCTTTTGAGATTTTGGTAGGTGTTCTAATAATATAATAGTTTAGATATGGCTCGTTGTCAATGTTGGGTGGACAGAGATTTCATGAATTGGCTACAGAAAACTAACTAAACTCTTAATGACTGAATAATGGTTTGCATTTTACTTGAGCCAAAAAGATGTTTAAGCCATGTACCACCACATTCCCTGCTTAACATTCCTAAGTTTCTTTATTCTTCATAGTTTTCTAATAAACAAATAATTAGTTTTCCTGAGTAAGATTATAAAAAAGTTAACCTTTCTTCCAAAAGTAGAAAGACAAATAAAATGTTGACTCACAATACAAATTTTTACATAGCATTACAGGTGCAGAGATATTGACTGCTGCTCTTCATTATGATTGGCCCACCCCTTAAAAAAAACTGCAACAAAGTATTCAATTGTCTAAAATACTTTGAAGTACAGAAATTAAATGTTTTAGCCCATAAACGTATCCCTCATCTACTGTGTTGCTAGGGAACACATGAGCAAAATCTATCATTCGCACTTCTACTTCAGCAATCTCTTGACAACCAGTGGGAAGATGGTAGAAAACTTTTTCCAGTTGGGAAAGTACATTTCCATTTAAATGTTCCTGTGACATGCTTTTCCATCCATTGTCTTGGTCCAGATTTTCAACTTTCAATGAAGTCTGACTGTGATGCTTTTTTATATACATTTTCCTGTGACGAGCATACATCTTGGACAAGCTTTTGCCTACTGAAGACTCTATTTTTCCATTCACTGTGGAACTTAACACATGAAAGTTATTATTGTACTCTAGTACTTCTGTGTCTGACAGTGGTCCTTTGGACAAAAACTTTTCCGCCAAAATTCTGTCATTCAGTTTTGTAGTGGTTGGCTGAGATGAACCTTCATAAACAAACAGTAATGAACTTGCGTAAAAGTTAAGCTGCTTCTGGTTTTCAAACCACTGCAGAATTTTCTCAATCTTCTGAATACTGGCAGCAACAGCATCTTTTCTTAAGCAGTACCCATTATGAAAAAATCTAGAGACTCCTATAAAAAGAAAAATATGAGCATTAATATCAAATTATGAAATAACTATTATTTGGGAAGTAGACTCATCACAGATGGAATTCTCCAATATTTTCCCCATGATCCCTTATAATTAAGTGAACAGTTAATCTTAGAATTCTAAGAATTCTAGTCAGATATAGAAATATGACCTCAGCTTAATTTCTGCTGAAGATGCTCTTATTACAAAATATTTAAATGACACTAATGTCATATGAAGTATCCTATTTAGATGAAAAGAAATTTATTACAGGTAGACTGGTAGTTTACTTATTTCACTATATTCTCTTAAGAAATAGGATTCCAAGACTTGCTCTATTTGCTACTGTGAGAAATTTTACAGTAAAATTACTTGTTCAGGCTGGGTGCAGTGGCTCACTCCTGTAATCCCAGCACTTTTGGAGGCCAAGGTGGGTGGATCACTTGAGGTCAGGCATTCAAGACCAGCCTGGACAACATGGTAAAACCCTGTCTCTACTAAAATACAAAAATTACGCATGGTGGCACATGCCTGTATTCCCAGGTACTTGGGAGCCTGAGGCACAAGAATCACCTGAACCTGGGAGGTGGAGGTTGCAGTGAGCCAAGGTCATGCTACTGCACTCCAGCCTGGCTGAAAGAGCAAGACTGTCTTTTAAAACAAATATTGTTAGAATCTCATTTAGAGCTAACTAAAACCTAGGGTCAAATTTAGTTATTTTTTAATAGCACCATTACCAAATACAAAACCATGACTCTACTAATTTTCATTTGCTCTCAATAATATTGATTAAGTCCATTTTTCAAAAAAATTAAGCTCACTTTTGGGAATAGCACTTTCCAGGTTAGGGATGCTATTGAAAATTGAGACCTTTAAATGTTTTAACCTATCAGATTATTAGGCCATTTTAAAAACTATGCCTATTTTATCATACTGGAGAATTTGCTTTCTGCTTTTAAATAACGTGTTCCCCCAATTTGTGACAGAAACTACTAAATGATATATTCAGTTATGACTAAATTATTAGCCTGGGAAAATATTTTTTAAATAGCCCATCTGAAAGTTATTTTGCTGTTGATTAAGCACTCCAAGGCAAATACTAATTGTTAAGCTCATGCTATGGATGTTTGCTTTCTATACATAAAATAAGAATTATTCTATAAATTTCTTACACTATGCCTAAGTTCTTCTCTATCTTAGTAGAGCTAAGAATGAACTTGTAATATAATGTTATTTCTAGGAATCTAGGATATTGTTGCTTTTGTAATACCTTGGCCACAAATATTTTAGAAGCATATATGTATGTTAACAGACTTATCAATTTAATGCCACTTAGTTAATCATTATGTAGCTCTAGAAACTTATATAACTCAACTACACATGGGAAAATTCAACAAAAATAACAGTACATGCTACAACACATATTTCAAAGTCTCTTATGTAACAGTTTTAATATACTATGATCTATAATCTTTACTTACAAAATAATTTTAACAACAACCTCTAGTTCCAGTATTGAGCTAGACATTTGGTTCACAGCTGTTCATTATTTTTTTCAGTATATTAATAAGAAAGAAATGAAAATGTAACAGAGGGTCATTCACAGGCCATGGTCTTGATGTATTATGAACCAGGGTTTAAGATTAATCCAATTCTGTAAATCTAAGTTTCATTATTTTTTTAAAAAAGTGTATTATGAATCAAATCGCTTCTCCAAATGAGAACTAAAACTGAAATAACTTTAGAATTATTTTATTAACTGTTCAATCATAAAAGCATTAGATTTTTAAATCCTTACCATCCTTTATAGTTTCTTTTGTTAAGCTTCTTCCATAATGCTGGTTTTGTGTCTCATAGCTATCGGAATGAATATGATACACCTGTCAAAAAAAAGCAGTGAATATTACAAAGCTAATACTCCTTGACCGTGTGAGATTTATCCCAGCAACACAGGGTGGCTAAAGATGAAATCTACTTAGGTAGATTCTAATTCATTCTAATAGAATTGAGAAGAAAAAAAATCCCAGTCATATCAATAGATGCTGAAAAGGCACTTTACAAATTTAACATCCACTGCTGATAAAAACTCTTTGTAATATAAGGATAGATGAATATTTCCAATATGATAAAACTATCTACCTAAACCTACCAGGAGTTAGTTTCAAGTTTAAAGAAGAGAACTGAAAAGGCACTTCTTTTAAAATACAAGAAGCTTTCACAAAAATATTTTATCACAATGTCTTTTATATTATTATCATCTAATATTCTGGAGTTTCTAGCAAATGTAATTAGAAAGAAATTAAAAGTATAATAATTTGAAAAGATGGAGACAACATAAATACTCTGAAGATAATAGTTGTACACTGGAAAAAAAAATTAAAAACAAATACAAATAATAAAATAGATGACATGGCATTTGAATACAAATTAGTAAACAGAAAATAAGCTTTCTAAACACAAATAACTGGTTAGAAAATGTAATGAAAGGAAAGACCCCCATTTATAAAATGTAACCCCTGAAAATACAAAAATAAGCTAAATATGTAAAAGATGTATAAAAAGATATATTTAAGACATTTCTATGACACACATATGTTCTCAAAGAAGATTCAACATAATATATCAATTTTACTTAAATTAATCTACAACTAAAGTGAGATTATAATAAAAATACCAACTTTTTTTTTATGATGTCTCACTCTATTGCCCAGGCTGGAATGAAGTGTCAGGATCTTGGCTCACTGCAACCCCTGCCTCCAGGGTTCAAGTGATTGTCGTACCTCAGCCTCTTGAGTAGCTGGGATTAGAGGCTCGTGACACCACATCTGACTAATTTTTGTATTTCTAGTAGAGGTGGGGTTTTACCATGTTGGCCAGGCTGGTCTCAAACTCCTGAGCTCCTCAAGTGATCCACTCGCCTCAGCTTCCCGAAGCGTTGAGATTACGGGTGTAAGTCACCATACCCGGCCCTAACAATTTTTTTTTAACCAAAAGCCAACTCTGAAGTTCACATATATATATATATATATATATATATATACACACACACACATATATAATATTTTATATATATATAATATTTTATATATATAATATAATATATATATTTTAATATATATATTAAAAGAGCCAAGAAAAGTTAAAATAAGATCAATAAGGTAGAACTAACCTTGCCATCCTACCAGATATTAAAATGTATTTTAGAATCAAACATATGTGAGAATTTAATATGTGATAATGAGATTTTAATCAACAGGAAAGGATTATTAAATGGTGTTAGTCTGATTAAACAGTGATCAGGAAAAACTAAGTTGTATTCATACCTGGTATCTTATGTCAGGATAAATTTCAAATGTATCATAGATTGAAATGATAAAAGGGTCCCTGAAAACATGTAGGAATCCTTGAGTAACTGATAATAACTAGGGACAGCATTTCCAGCTAAAACTCAGAAATGTCGCAACTGGATTTTTTGGTAGATATTATTTGTACATATTTATGGGGTACATGTGACATTTCCTCATAGGCATAGAATGTGTAATGATAAAGTCAGGCTATTTAGGGTATTCACCACTACATATATTTATCATTTCTATGTGTACACAGTGTTTTTGCCATGCAGAAATCGAAAGAAAAATAGGGAAAAAAATCATTTGAAATTCATTTGATAAACAAAGGGCATGTTTACACTTATGTGGGAACAAACAAGAATCCAAAAGTGCTTAAAGTAGGTTTTGTAATAAACATATATGCAGTATTTGCATGTTTAAAATATCTCTAGAAGGATATATAGAGAAAAAATAACTATAATATCTTGTATGGAGGCAGACTATTCAACTGCACAGGTATACCTCATTTTATTGAGTTTCACTTCATTGTGCTTTACAAATACTGCATTATTTACAAATTGAAGGTCTGTGGCAACCCTGCTTGAGCAAATCTATTGGTGCCACTTTTCCAACAGCACATGGTCACTTCATGTCTTTGTATTATAATTTGGTCATTTTTGAAATATTTCAAACATATTATATCTGTGTTGTGATCTGTCATTAGTGATCTCTGATGTTACTCCTGTAATTATTTTGGGATGTCACAAAGCACACCCACATAAGATGGCAAATTTAATTGATAAATATGTATGTTCTGACTGCTCCACCAACCAGCTGTCCCTCCATCTCTCTTCCTCTCCTCAGGCCTCCCTATTCCATGAGACATAACAATATTGAAATTAGGCCAATTAATAACCCTCCAATGGCCTCTAAGTGTTCAAATGAAAGACAATGTCATCTCTCTCACTTTAAATCAAAAGCTAAAGAGTGGGCTGCGCATGGTGGCTCACGCCAGTAATCCCAGAGCTTTGGGAGGCCGAGGTGGGCGGATCATTAGGTCAAGAGATTGAGACCATCCTGGCCAGCATGGTAAAACCCCTTCTCCACTAAAAAATACAAAAATTAGCCAGGTGCAGTGGCACGCACCTGTAGTCCCAGCTACTTGGCAGGCTGAGGCAGGAGAATCACTAGAACCCGAGAGGCAGAGGTTGCAGTGAGCAGAGATCCCGACACTGCACTCCAGTCTGGTGACACAGTGAGACTCCATCTCAGGAAAAAAAAAAAAAAAAAAAAGGTGATTAACTTAGTAAGGAAAGCATGTCGAAAGCAAAGACAGGCCTAAAGCTAGGCCTCTTGTGCCAAACAGCCAAGCTATGAATGCAAAGAAAAAGGTCTTGAAGGAAATTCAGAGTGCTACTGCCTTGAACACACAAATCATAAGAAAGTGAAACAGCCTTATTGCTAATGTGAAGAAAGTTTTAGCAGTTTGGATAGAAGACCAAACCAGCTACAACATTACCTCAAGCCAAAGCCTGATCCAGGGTAAGACTTTAACTCTTTTCAATTCTATTAAGGCTGAGAGTCACTATGAGGAAGCTGCAGAACAAGTGTGAAGCTAGCAGAGGCTGTTTCACAGAACCTAGCAGAAGTTTATGGGAAGATGTTTTTATCATAAAATGCAAGGTGAAGCAGAAAGTGCTGGTGTAGAAACTACAGCAACTTATCCAGAAGACAACTGATAAGAGTTTCTACCCTAAACCACAGGTTCTTAATGTAGATGAAACGGCCTTCTATTTGGGAAAAAAAAAAAAAATGCCACCTACGGTTTTCATAGCTAGAGATAACAGGTCAATACCTGGCTTCAAAGCTTCAAAGGACAGGCTGTCTTGTGTTAGGGGCAAATGCAACTGGTGACTTTAAATTGAATCCTATACTCACTCATTTGTCCTGGAGCTCTTAAGAATTATGCTGAATCTCCCAGCCCTTTAGGAGGCTGAGGCAGAGGCTACCTTGAGGCTAGAGGACAACTTGAGGCAAGGAGCTCAAGAAGAGCCTGAGCATCACAGTGAGACCCCACCTCCACAAAAAAATGTAAAAATTAATTGGGTGTGGTTGCACATGCCTGTAGTCCCAGCTACTCCAGAGGCTGAGGTGGAAGGATTGCTTGAGCCCAGAAGTTGGAGGCTGCAGTGAGCTATGATCATGCCACTACACTCCAGCCTAGGTGATAGAGCAAGACCTTGTCTCAAAAAACAAAAATTTTTTTTGCTGAAAGCCTGTATGACAGTACATCGGCTTATTGATGGAACAACAAAGCCTGGATGACAACACATCTGTTTATAGCATGGTTTACTGAATATTTTCAGCCCACCAATGAGAACTACTGTTCAGAAAATAAGATTCCTTCCAAAATACTACTGCTCATTGATAGTGCACCTGGTCACCTAAGAGCACTGATGATGTACAAGGAGATTAAAGTTGTCTTCATGCCTACTAACGACATTCCTTTTGCAGTTCTATGGATCAAGGAGTAATTTCAACTATTAAGTCTTACTATTTAAGCAATATATTTTGTAAGGCTATAGCTGCCATTGATAGCAATTCCTCTGATGGATTGAGGCAAAGTAAATTGAAAACCTTTGGTAAGAATTCACCATTCTAGATGCCATAAAGAACTAACAGGAGTTTGGAAGAAGTTAATTCCAACCCTCATGGGTGCCTTTGAGAAGTTCAGTTCAAGACTTCAGTGGAAAGAGCAAGAGAACTAGAACTAAAAGTGAGGCCTGAAGATGTGACTGAATTGCTGCAATCTCATGATAAACCTTGAATGGATGAAGAGCGGCTTGCTTGCTTGCTTGTTTTATTGATTGACTGAGATAGGGTCTTGCTGTCACCAGGCTGGAGTGCAGTGGCACGATCATGGCTCACTGCAGTCTCAACTTCTTGTGCTCAAGCATTCCTCCCACTTCAGCCTCTTGAGTAGCTGGCACTACAGGCGTGTGCCACCACGTATTTTTTTTTTGTAGACGGGGTTTTGTCATGTTGCCCAGGCTGGTCTCAAACTCCTGAGCTCAAGTGATCCACTTGCCTTGACCTCCCAAAGTGTTGGGATTACTGGCATAAGCCACTGTACCTGGCCTTAGACTGGCTTCTTACAGATGAACAAAGAAAGTGGTTTCTTGAGATGGAATCTACTCCTAGTAAAGATCCTGTAAACATTGCCGAAATGACAATGAACGATTTAGAATATCACATAAACTTACTTGATAAAGCAGTGGTGGGATCGGAGAGGACTGACTCCAGTTTTGAAAGTTCTACTGTGGGTAAAATTCTATCAAAGAGCAACACATGCTCCAGAGAAAGCTTTCAGTAAAGAAAGAGTAAATTTATGTGGCAAACTTCATTGCTGTCTTATTTTAAGAAATTGCTGCAGGCACTCCAACCTTCAGCAACCACCTCCCTGATCAATCAGGCACTATAGGCAAGAGCCTCTACCAACAAAAGAAAACAATTCACTGAATGCTTAGATGATCATTAGTATTCTTTAGCAA